TTAGGTCAAGCCCCGCCCACCGATGACAGTTGGCCTCCACTCCTCCACCCACCTCTATCCACTTTTTCCCGGCCTCCGGGACTTCTTGGAGCCGAGTTATGAATTTTCGTCGCAAACTCCGCCCACTTTGGTCAAGCCCCGCCCACCGATGACAGCTGGCCTCCACTCCTCCACCCACCTCTATCCACCTTTTTCCGGCTCATTAAGACTTCCCCGGCCCGAATTATGAGGACTTGTAGAAAATGCTGTACACTTCAGAGCGCGCTCCGCCCATTGTGGGCGGGCCTCCGCCCACGTCATGTATGCTGGGAACACCTTAGACATTGCTCCCCTACATTGTTTTCTGCTCTGTAGGCTTTCTCCCAACCGAGTTATGAATTTTTCATAAAGCACTGCTTTTTTGGAGAACGCCCCGCCCACCGGGGGTGGGTCTCCCTAATTCGATGTGACTTACCAATGCACACCTTTACCCACTTTTTGGCCCAGTTTCGAGGTCGTTTTGTCACTGAATTGAAATCTTGGTCGTCAGTACACTTCATTTCGACGCACGCCACGCCCACTGTGGGCGGGGCTCCGCTTAGCTGATGTGTGTTTTGTACTTCGTGAGACCTTGCCCGTCCCACACTTGACCCGGTCCCTCCAGGCGGATCCCGAGGAGCTAGGGAATTTCGTGACAGACATACAGAACGACAGACAGACGACAGACGAAGCGCTTTATAGTAAGTAGGATGGATAACAGTTTTTTCCATCGCTCGTTTTAGGCTCCATTAGTCGACCTTTGTCACTCTGGAAGAGTTTGTTATGGGATATTGTAGGGCTATTGTTTGGAAACTAGGGTCTTTTTTATTTTGAAGTTACTTCGCCATAATTCGTTGTCATTGAAGTAAATAAATTTCAGCTTGGAATCAACGTTTTCACTGAGTAATCTGGCAGTTGTTAATGTGAAAGATAGGGAGAGTGGACCCGCCAAAGCTGATCAGCTCTTGAAACTACTCGTGTTTCCTGAACAAAGGTAATACTCGTTATTCTGGGATTAATTTCGCTTTATTGCCAGGCTGACTGTGTTTTAAGATAAGAACTTTGGTTTTATCTGCCCTTTAAACACTATCGATCAGTCCGGTTCTAGTCACGCAATAAAAATCTAGAGTGGGCATGATAGCGAGGGTTCTTAGTTCTGCTGTAAAGTAAGAATCCGCACTACTGCGCCAAACTTCGTATGGCGGACTCTCAAATTTGTTTAGACTATTATTCCTTCCATGAATCTTGCTAATGAGATTATCCCGAACAGCGTTGTCGTTTGCGGATCCGTAGTTGGTTATTCCAATCCGCCTGGGCCGGATCCTCACGCGAAAACGTCGACTTTTATTGAAATGCTGTCAGTAGTACCCTGATCCCTTTCGCTGTAGAACTTTGTAGAACTCGATGTTTTATAAAGTAGATAAAACCTTTGTCTGAAGTATTCGTTGTTGTACTAATGCTTTGCCTGAGCGCGCTGAAAAATTCATCAATTTCTCTTACAGATATTACCGCTGTGATAGTGCTCGCGTCAAAAAGATGTGGCTTGATGAACTCGAAAGAGCGAAGCGTGACATTTTGCACGAAGGCATTCTGGTTCGGCAGTCCACAATCCGAGGGAAAAGAATTTCAGTTCAGGTGCCAATCCATCGACTGTTCATAGTTGCATTTCTGAGAATGTTTAAAAGTATGGTTTAGGAACGTGTCAAGCGTGCCGAAGATATTCCATCCACAGCTAACTCGCTCCCTGAGACCGAAGAGGGAGAAGTTAGTAAGTTTTTCTCTCTTCGAAGTTTGCTTGCGTTTCTGAAAGCTGTTGTTGTGTGCGTTTTGTTTCAGATCAGGAAGAGATAGCGTGGCTTCAAGAGTTACCTGCAGAATTGGACGACTGTATAGCACACAGGTAAAGTTTGTAGCTTCAGTCCCTAGAAGTGAGGTCTTCTACTATATTTACTTGTTGGATATCCCACCACTCTGTACGATGCATATCTGTGATTAAGCTGATCGATATTCGTTCATTGACGGTCAGCATCTAGATAGACGTCGTAGTGTAAGGTCGCCCTGTGATTCAGTGTAAGTGCACATACTCGATCTCAACTCTCATTCGATCATCTCGGTTCACGATTCTCGAACACGTTAATCTCTCAATAGAATGAAAGTGGCTAGGATTGAGTAAGCGCTCNCCAAAATTTAGCTGGAATTTTTCCTCGAAATTTGTTCATGAATGTTGATTTCATTGCCTTTTGCCCTAATTCCACTCACTTGCCCCGAACGAATGTGATAATAGTTTTTCACAACCTCGGTTACTCATGGGGTGAAGTTACGGTAAATTTAGTTGTCCAAGGTGTCCATTTGGCGCTAATACCAGGAACAAGGGCACCAGCAGCCACAAGGCGTTCTCTCGCTAAACGGATGCTGTAAATCTGTCGCTAGTTCAAGCTACCCATGAAGGGATTTTCGGAAGAAAAACCCCAAGTAAAGGGCAGTAACAGATAAATAATGCAATTAGATCAAGTTATGTGAAAAAAGAAAACATCCCAAGTTAACCTGCTATCTTTGTTAACTCTTTTCTTTTTTGTCTAGGGATCTTGATCAAGAGCAGTAGAACTTATCCATGAGTGGAAACAGTGTTCTACGAAGGATCCCAATATAGACGCTCAGCTGAAAATCAGGGAAAATCAGGTAGAACGTCGAGATTCATTGTGTATATGCTAGCTGTTTATTTTGTCTCTTTCTTCACGCTGATTCACGCGCCCATTCACAATATCAGATTGTGCAACTCCTGAGCGATGACGTCCGCCGTCCAGGTGCCGTACATGGTGGACCTCGTGCAATGAAGAAGGCACGAACGCTTTTGTCACAGCTTGGACGAGGTGTGACTTCTGTTTCTTTTTTGCAGGATCCACTCATTTGCAGTGTAACTGTTTAGGAACCTACGCGATGGACCTTTACCTTCGTCGTCGCAGTGCGTTGCAGAGAGCAGCTGTTAAGGACATAGCGGTATCGGAGGAACCCTTGTCTTATGTCCGTCAGCTCTGTACGCTATTCTCCGCAGCAGCTGACTGAATGTAGCAAAGCGAGTTCCATTTCCCACCAACTCGCAATATACGTCAGGCATGTTATGCGATCATTTATAATTAAACCTTAGAAATTGCTGACTATCTCAGTCTCGAAAATTTTGTTCGTTTCATGAGGGAAATGTTTTCAAATGCTTGACATGGCAGGTTTTGTTTCCGTATGGCAGCATTTTCAGGTGCTTCAGTGGTGTTCAGGCGAAGCTTAGTGTCTTGCTTTCTTTAGTTCGACGACATGTCATAGGTGAGTTTGCTTTTTCCCCGCTGATAATCTGAGACAATTGTCCAAGAATATTGTGGATGCTTCGCCGTAGGATCACTCTGTTTGGGTGATTTCTGCCCCACGTATGAGAGGTGATTTGACTTTTCAGAGGTTGCTCCGGCAATGACTGTCCTTGCGTTTACTTGGGGAATCCTAATGAAAACAATGGACGAGTTAACGTCAATGGGTGTTCAGCTAACGTTCGAGGTTGGTCAATTTCGAATTCTTCGAACTTCGCATGTCGTTCGAGCATTTGTATTTGATTTGTCCCGCTTTCTGGAATGTTATGGGGCAATTTGTCTCGTGCAAATTGCCGACCGCTATCGTATTATGGCAACCCCAAGGGTAGCCTCTCGTAGTAACACCGTTGATAGCTCGCGATGTACGTGATTCTGCGTTAGTTGAAAGGAGTCGGTGCACAGACTCCTTTCAACTTGATTGATTATGCTTTATGATCGGTCGTCGATGTGGCGCGTTGACGACCTAGCAGAAATGCAGGCGGGCCTCTAACGGTGCGGGACAATGCGCTTTTCGCAGCGATAGGATGCCACAGTGTCCTAGTAGGGTCGTGCCTGCGCCGCTCGCGCATCTGCACGCCTGCCGATGGGTAACGACTGGTCTGGTGGGAATCGCTTGGCAGATAAAGCGTTAGCGTCGATGAGGGCAGTACTGAGCATCTTTGCAGAAATAGAAGGTCAAAGAAGGGGTCTTATTTCGTGGGTCTGGACCGTTTCTTATGGTTTTCCTTCATTACTGCACCACTAATCACCTAAACCTTGATTTAATGGACTGACTTGAACTTTGAGTATTTTTGAGATGTTAGGAGTTCAAAGGTGAATGTTTTCCTTATTTTGTGTTTTACGGTTTGTAATCGCACAGGTGCATCGTCTTCTGGCTCCTGCTTTGGAAGCTGCTATCGAGACCAATTTTAACAACATCATGCAGGGCGTAAAGCTGCGAATGTCTGTGAGTTTGGAGAGATATTCTAGTTTTATCGGATTCATTCTTCAGATCATTTCGTCTGCTTCTAGGAAGAGCGGTGGCGACCATACGTATTGGAATCTGATTCTGCGCTCACTCGCCTTGTGGAGGAGCTGTCAGATGTTGGTCTGAACATTGATTGGACCGTGGCTGCAGACAGTCGTGCAGCCGTTTTGCTATCACCACATGCTATTCACTTTGCGCGTGTGGCACATTCGCTTGCCAGGGATTTGGGCCCGCTTCGACGGTTAGTTCATGGAGAAAATGAGGATAATAATTTTCTGTTGGCGTGCTCATTTCATGGTTATGATATCAAACAGTTCCATGCTTTATTTCAAGTCTCTAGCTGTATGGTAATGGAATCCAAGTCAATTTCGGTTTATATTGACCCAGTGATCAGCGGCGTAAGCCGATGCTCAAACGACCTATCACTCTTGTGTTTCCTTTTGCAGTTTATCCGCTCATTTCCATTTCTCCTAGTGATTCCACCATTTAAGGGATGGGGGAGGAGTATCTTTCGAAACAGCAGCTTTTTGGGTCCCAGTAAATAGTTTTTCAGATGCTTCTCAGTAAAGGATGCAGTCCTGGATTCTGAATTATTATAGCTTTTCTTCTATTTCTCACGAATCACGATCATGGTCGTTTTGCTCGGCCATACATATGAATTTCAAATAAAGCTTTTTGGTCAACACTTAAATCGAGCTAGCGTAGTATTTTGCGT